TGAAATATGATTATGAATAGCATTGTTCTTAAGGAAAAAATATAAATATTTAAATTTGTGCAGAAACAACATGCAAGTGACGTAAGAGTAGTAGAGGAATTGTGATAAATTACTAAGATTCAAAGTATTAAAGAATTAAAAATACCATTCAAGATAGTCATAAATACTGTCCAAAGTAAGGTTGTTGAAAAACTTTGCAAGCCTAATACATACTGTTATAATTCGATTTTTTTTTTTCATTCAATTTATATATATTAGCTTAGGCTATCGAGGGGATTGGGCAGGTGAATCTCGCATAGCTAAATTGGAATGAAGTGTTTGTTAATTAACTATATACACATGTAAATTCACGTTGTTGGCCGCAAATGCAAATTCTAGTTTATTACTCAAGAAAGGCTACATATGTCGAATCAATAAGAAGCAAAGGTATGAATTGCTTAATATCTTACCTTAATATCCATGTCTATCTTAAATTGCCTTGTTGTGACTGTGATGAATGATTTTTTTAATCCAAGTTCATAACTTTCTCATTTTGAGTTGTGTTTGGAGAGTGTATAGGAAATGTGGCTTTATCCGTGTTTGAATTTTCATGAAATTGTTGGTTAGGTGGAGTTTTAGATAATATAGACACTTATTTGAGACAAAAGTATTGTATGAGTGAGGAAGTTGTGTGATGTTAGTTCTATGTTTTATAAGGATGTGTTGTTCTTGGATAATTATGGACGGGGTACTCTGAGATTTTTAACGGTAAATAGAAGGCAAATTGCTATTGTTGATGAAAAAGGCTTAGAAATCAAATACCGTCAAAAGGACTAGGATAATTGGTTATTTATTTTAATTCTTATTATTATACCTTTGAGGAGATTATATAAAATAGTTAAAATGATATTAATCATTGTTCTAAAGTAGATACCTAACATGTACATAAATTTTGTTGGATTAGGCATTTGCTAATGTTCAAAAAGGTCTTGCATGGAGGTGTTTTTGCTGGGGTCTTGTTTCCATTTGTATATTAACTAGATAGTACCTGTGACCGAGTCATGGAACATTAAAATAAAGAAAAATGAAAAATAAATATAATATATAATATAACTAAATTTATAAATATAAATGTTTATCTTAAATACTTAAAATTAGTAATGTAAGTTTGTTAGACAACTAACTCATTAAACATATTTAAGTAGTTCAACAATGACATACTTTTTATAATTTTTAAGATATGCTACATTGAGTCTAATATTTTAAAATGATTAATATACATTTTCACTGCTCCTGTCAAGTTTCCCTATAAGTTACTACATGCGCATATTCATTTTTATTGCCTAAATGTCTGAGTATATAAATATGAAAAGAAGATTTCAAGAGAAAAATGTAATTTAGAAGTAACAACTTAAATTGAAATTAAAATCCTTAAATTTTTTCTTAAAGAAACAAAGTTTGAAATATAAAAAATAACAGTAA